AGGGTATAAATCCAATCTCTTCTTCTTCCACACAACAGCTGTGAATGCAGAACCATTCCACATGGTAATGGAATGTCCACACAGCAGGCTTCCCTGCACTTTCCTGGCCTCACTCCCCTGTGTATGCTATTTTCTCTCCCCTGCCTCACTACAGGGATTTCCGTTTTTAAAAAATGGTACCTGACATATCACTAAAGCATGGTAACACTATTAGCAATACTGATTTTCTTTTGAAGAAGCCTAAAAAAGCCCTCTGGTGGCACGGGAGATGGCAGCCACAGTGGCAAGAACATTGGTACCGATATGGGTGTGATTTTCCAAAAAATATCATCCTGGAGAAGGTTTAAGAAAAATCGCAGCAAAGCAACAGAGAAGCCAAATGGTGCGTCAATGCATTATGATTGCATGTGGGTGCAGGGGAAAAGATTGCTCCTTTGGGAGTCACGGCAGAGCAAAATGGGCACATGGATGCAAGTTTTTAAAGCTAACAGATTTAGAATGGGATCCTTACAGATCACTTTGGCTCTTGAACTGTAACCAGCTGCAGATAGGGGGCTGAGCAGAAGTTACACAGACACCTACAGACAGCAGGTGTTGGATGCAGAGCTTCTCCCACTCAATGCTTGGTAGTGACTGTAACAAAAAATAGAATTTAAGCACATGCACCCCTGCCTTAGGAAGAGCCAGACAACCTAGCCCAGGGATTTGACCGGCCGAAGTTCTCCAAGTCTCTCTCCCAGAGATCCTTTTCACTGAGGATGTGAAGAAGGAGGGCTCAGGAAGTTCTCCATGCCAAGCCCATGCTGTATCCCACCCCTGTATGGGTAATGAGGTTTCCTTTCACTGAAATTAGTAGCACAGTAACTAATCCAAACCCAAAAATGTTCTGAGAAACAAGAGCATGTTAATAAGCCAGCTGCATTTATTTGGTATAGTGGTTAACAGAGGCGGACTCTACTCTGGAGAACCAGGTTTAATTCCCCAGTTCTTCACATGCAGCTGCTGGGTTACCTTGGGTCAGTCACCATTCTCTTAGAACTGTTCTCTCAAGAGCAGTTCTCTCAGAGCTCTCTCAGCCCAACCTACCTCACAGGGTGTCTGTTGTGTGAAGAGAAATGGAAGGAGATTATAAAACTCTCTGAGACTCCGAGTGAAGGGCAGTGCATAAATCCAATCTCCTCCTCCTCTTCTTCTTCTTCTTTTTCTTCTTCATCATTCCAGACTTCCCAGCACCAAAACTATCCCAGGATGCTGAACACCTTAATGATCAACACGATTTCCAAGGTATAAGTTTTTGAGAGTCAAAGGTCCCTTCATCAGATATCAGAAAGCTTATACCCAGGAAACCTTGTTGGTTTTTACAGTGCTACTGCACTCAAATCTTGCGCTTCTCCTGAAGACCAATATGGCTACCCACCTGAAACTATCCCAAGGTACTACAACATCTGAACAATCTTCCCTTAATGCCAGCTACAAACTGTCTGCAGACACGTGCAGTGAAACCAAGACCTATCTTCTGCTTATTGCCAGAAACATAAATGCAGCCCTATTTCCAGCAAAGATAGTCAACAATTGTGCACTAGCCCTGCCCAAGCTTCATCTTAACAGATGCTGGATGATGAGGTGAAAAAGTTAAAGGGAGTGAGAGGGGGAACATTTCTGATTATAAGACCTCTTGGATGTAGAAT